TTAACGTGAATACAGGAGAGCAGGATTTTGCGACACCAACTCTCGTGCATTTGCAAACATCCCAGGAATAAAGTGATGGGAAAGGCAACTAGAATCTTCTCTTTCACATTTCGTGGATCCTCGTGTTTTCGCAAACGTCTCTGAGGTCGCCAGGGGGCAAACTTAGCAAGTTACTACAAGAAAGATTACAGTAAGCCAAAATTTGCAACCGAGGCACCACAGAGACATGTATGTACTATCAAGTTTCTTCCTAGCTTTCTTTTGTCAGAAATGCCGACTATATGCGCCCTCGATGTTCATCATCAACTGCTGCGTTTCCTCGAGAATAATCTAAATATGGCTGCAAAAAAGGTTCTCAAAAATGGCTCAACTTGCGTTATTCAAACATTCTCTCCTCGTTCATGTTTAAACGATACTCTCTGGGAAGTTTCTGGTAAATTTCAAGTTATTTAAGTTAATAAAACAAAGATGTGGTGTACGGAATTTTGTCGATAAAGACTAAAAAGCGGGAAATAAATGGAAATTTCACGTCAGCACGGGTTATGAAATATATTGCCCAAAAATTTTATTATTGATTTTGGAAGTCCAGCGATGGCTTTCACTGCCCATATAGGAATAGCGATCAGAAGTGGTTGTTCTTTGGAGATATTGGGCCTTAAAATACCCTTATTTTTGGACTTTGTCAAAACCAGAAAAAGTTGTCTTTACTTAAGCGAGAGGTAAGAGAAGAAATGAAATGAAAAAGTTAAAACAATTCAATTTTCTAGAAGTCTGATAGATATAGAATACAACCCAGTTGATTGGATTTGCAGACGGATTTTCAGTTTGCCGTAGCAGCCGGGAAATGGGGGTTTTCCCAGGGGACCATATATCTCCAGGGGAATTAAAAATGTTGACCTGTTATTTTCACACAGTTATTAACTCATGATACTTAGCATTTGTGCCAATTTGAGCCAAATCGGTGATTTGAGGTCTATCGCGCCTGCCCGGTTCTGCCCGGTTTTCTCGTGGACACGCTCTTAAGTTGTGATCTTTTGCTAAAGTTATAACATATTAATTGGTTAGCCCTGAAAATAATTAATTAAAAGAAAAATAATCATGTCTTCACCGAAACTGCGTCAGCGAGTCTTACGATAATTTAAATACTAAATACTCACGACATATTCCTTCATTCCATGCAACTGGTTTTACAACTGGTCCCAGCTCACTACAGTCCTTTCCACCGTGAGATGGTGGGGGATTGGTGCAGGTTCTTGTCAGTATTTTTTTCCCTTCTCCGCATGTCACACTGCACTCAGACTCAGACCACTCAGTATATCCACCATCAATCGCTATACACACACACAAAAAAAGGAACTTCTCGTATGCTTGTTTTTTCAAGTCACTGTGATAACTGGTTAAGTTCAAACTAAAAAAATCATTTGCATTTGAACTAATTGCTATTAGCCTTAGGAAAGATTAGATTACATCTAGGCAAAAGAATTCTTGGATGGACGACTAGGCAGTCAGGTAAAAAAGAATCGAAGGGAGATGAACGTAAGGTTTCTCACTGAAATTGATCTTTTTCTTTACTTTATTATCTGGCTATAATTTGCCACTCTTTTGTATTAAATTTCATAATGCTTTTTTATTATACATCTTTCACGGTGTCGTTTTCTA